AATGCAACTAGTACAGGACCAAATATCCACGAGACTACTAGCCAAATCTTTAAAAAATTATAATAGAAAAAAAATTTCAAAGAAGGATCTTACAATTCGAGCAGCAAGTTCCCCATGACTAAATTGTTCTTCGTTGTCTTGGGCTATATTCACCATGTGATAGATGAAGTTACTAGTTATGTATAAAAGGACAATGACGACTGCAACAAAGACGCCGAGGAACTTGTAAGCTCTCTCTCTCAGGAGGCCATCAGCTCCATAGAACAAGCAAAAGGCTACAGTTGGAAATAAACTGTATTTTGACTCACTTAAGTTTGTGTTGACTTCAAGGATAGTGTTAGCGGCAGAACTAACTGTAACTGAAGCAGCTGCTGCTTGAGTGCTTGCAGCAATGACCAATCCAGCAATGAAGATCCTTTGAAGACAAGTGGCCATATTTCTCTAAGAAGTGTCTAGTCAAAAATACTAGCAATGTGCTTGCTTTTATACATGGTGGAGCTGTTTGTGCATTTTTAGCTAAGAATCCTACAGTGAAGTGAATGATTTTTCCACTATTTCCCTTTTAACACATTTCATAGCATAGCTAGCTATGATCAGAGGGAGGAATATGGTTTGCTAGTTGTGTTGGGGATTATAATAAATTTTGATTAAAAGCAGCAATAACAATCAAAATAAAGGAAGAGAAACAAAAAATAAAAGTATAATGTATGAGTTATTGGTTGTTGCAGCACGTGTCAAAGGAGAAAGGTGGAGGAACTATATTTAGAAGTAAAAAATAAATAAAATAAAATATATCATACATAACTTACTTTTCTCTTTGAGACCTTTTCCAAAATTCATGATGACTTTGATAGCAACAATACAAATGAGGAAACAAGCCAACAGACCAAGTCCACCTATCGTTAACAAAACATGACAGGAGGAGCCACGTGTTGATATAACTTACTTATGACGAACAGGAATATGGCCACATATTCATAATGACTGATGTCCTCATTATGACTGACATAGTCATTCCATGGATGATGATCATAAAAGGAATAGTTCTTTGCAACCTGTTAGAGGGCATATGTAAACTATTTGAAAACAATAATAAATAATCACATTATATATCTTGTAAATGTAATACACTGGAGTTGGCAATAAAAAATTCACAAAGACAACCATCATGCTTTTATGTTCATACCAGATCTAAAGAGAAAAGGAGAGAGAGAGTGATTAAATATATGAAGCTAACTTGTAGGCTCTTACCCCATACCAGCCAACAGGAGAGAGAACTACAGTGTAAGCTACAAGTATTGGCAAAACAACCTTTTCTGCTGTATGGAGGAAAGTAGTATTGCGTGAGAATGCCAATATAACTAGATTAAACTATGAAGAGAAGTGATGATGATATACTTGTAAATGAATAGCTTCTTACTAGTAACTGGATGTTGAAAAATAAAAGAAGAGATAAAAAAGAAGTGAACTGGTAAATTCCTATGTAAAAAATAAATAAAATATTCTTTAAAATGTCGTTATAAAGATCTACATGTAGTTACGCTTCATTTTCTTGTCCTGGTCTAAAAGTATAAAGACTAGTCTTCCCATTTTAATGTAAAGGGCTACAGTGGAGACTGCCAGTATCGGACCAAGTATCCATGAGGTCCCTAACCTGACCTAAATAAAAACCATTGCTGTAACTAGCATGATATATGGATACCATGGTCTTTTAATATCCGTGTAATCAAGGCTCAACTTACGATTCTAAGTGCTAGTTCACCATCAGAAAATTCTTCTTCATTGTCATCCTTAATGTTAATCAAGTGATAGATAAAGTTAGCAGATAGACAAAAGAGTACAATAACAATTGGTATCAGTACACCCAGCAATTCTAACCCTCTCTCTCTTATCAGTCCATCAATACCGTAAAATAAAGCAAATACTAATCAGGAAAGATAAAAGGAAAGAAGTTTCATAGCTGATTCGGATTGAAATTAGATTTTTATGCCAATTTTAAAATACACTATAATCACAACAGACAAGGTACATGCATACTAGAAACTTACTCAAGTTGACAATAAGAATCAGAGCAAAGGTAAAGTCGCTAAGACAAGTCCAATGGTGACAGGGATCAATACAGTTTTTAGAATTATCATCAGGAAGGCAAAAATGTTCGAAGGTCTTCTCAGACGCATTAAAATTCCAAGAAAAGTATACTAATTTTTCAATTGTAAAACTGAGTGACGTCACAAATGAAATGACACCAATCACAATGAATGCCCACTCAACGCGTTTGAAACTCCTAATATTACGAACCTATAATATAAAAAATGTGAAACTGTGTGTCACCAAGTTATAAATACACTACTAGAAGAAGTTTACATTAAATTTGATGATAAAATTGTGTATATATATATATATATATATATATATATATATATATATATATATATTTAATCTACGCCTTTTTTAAACTTAGCAATTAAAGCTTTCCACTCACATTTCCAAAGCAGTTGAGCTTGTTATAGGGAGAGGGCCTATCAGCCTCTTGAACGGCTCCATACGGAATTTCCCCAGAGCTAACACTGCTTATCTTAACATACTCATCAGAGAGTCCATCAAAATTATTTTGGAACGAGTCTTTGAAGTTCATTTTATTTGACACACAGCCGAACCAGAACAGTAAACCTCGCAGTAAACACAACGTGTCGTGAGCTATGAGGAGTATAAAGGAAGGAGGTGTGTCAATAATAAAACATGAAAATGAATGTTAGATCTACAAAACACAATTTGACTATTTTCACAAAAAATACACAAACATCATAGCAAAATGGGCTCATTTACAAAATTAGTCTCAATAAAATCAAGCAAAAAGTCAAAAAGTTTAACGATTCATAGATCCAGCAATCTTCTTGTACAGCAATGCAAAAGGAGGATCAACTAAGAAAACACGATAATAAAAATTATAAAAATATTCATGCTCACCTTTTTCCTTGAGACCAGCTTTCTTAAAATTTCGAATGACAAAGAAAGCAAAAATGCAAATGAGAACAAAAATCAAAAGTCCAATAACATCTGTATGCATAAAAGTGGATTATTATAAAATACAAAAAAAAACAAAACTGACTAGCAACAAACAAAGCAGCTGCAACTAGCTCATAGTGACTACTGTTGACTTCATGACTTGGGCCATCACGACCTGGATGTGAATTATAAAGTGGAAAGTTCTTAGCAACCTATAAAGAATAAAACAAAGCTATATATTACTGATAACATTACATTAACTATCTTGTAAATGTAATAGACAGGAGTCAGTATGAGGAAGACCAAGAATATGGCAGTGACACTGTATAACTCGTACCAAATCTATAAAAAGGACATATTGAGTTAAATATGTACAAAATACTTATGAATTGCTAACTCCAATCCAACCCATTGGGGTAATGAACATTATGAAAGCGACCATGATTGGTAGAATGATCTTTTCAGTTGAATTAAGGAAGGTTCCATTACGTGTGTAAGCAAGTACTAGTACGTTAATCTGTAGAAGAGGGAGACACTGCAGTAAGAGAAAGGGGGAGGGGACTTACCAGTAACTGGATATTGAAAAATAAGAGGCTAGCCAAGAAAGAAGTGCATTGATAAGCACCTGTAAAAACAATTTAAGTTATAATGACTGGATTATCCAGTTTATCAGGTTATAATAACAGGTATTGATGATACTAACGTTTTAATGTTCGGTTCCCGCCAACAAGAAGGAACCAGAGTTTCCCCATTCTGAAGTACACTGCTATAGCAAATGCAACTAGTATAGGACCAAGTATCCAAGAGACTACTAGCCGAATCTTTAAAAAATTATAATGAAAAAAGAATTTCAAAGAAGGATCTTACAATTCGAGCAGCAAGTTCCCCATGACTAAATTGTTCTTCGTTGTCTTGGGCTATATTCACCATGTGATAGATGAAGTTAATAGTTACGTATAAAAGGACAAGAATAACGGCAACAAAGACGCCGAGGAACTCGTAAGCTCTCTCTCTCAGGAGGCCATCAGCTCCATAGAACAAGCAAAAGGCTACAGTTGGAAATAAAATTGTATAAAAATCCTGCAAAACTGTGATTTCCCTATGATAGAATGTGTTATGCACATGCTCAGTTGAGGTCAAGATGCATTTATTTAATACTGACCACAACAGGGGTTGTGCTCCATCATAACACATTCATCAAATTTATAAAGTTTTGCAACTTCTGCTGCAGCTTGAGCTCTTGTTGTTGCATGTGATCACAAAGTTGATAATGAAACCACTGAACCACATTCATCATACAAAGGATCTGCTATTATAATTTAATTGGGCGAAGCCCACTAGTTCGAGTAGAGTATGTTTGTTTGTTTGTTTGTTTGTTTGTACACGTACGTCACCCCTATTTATCCGTATGAAAAATTTTCCTATTTTAATAACCTAATCTTAATCTTCTTTGAAAACGGGTGTGGTCACAGTGAAATAAAATGGCGCCAGCTATCAATTCTTCATTGTTCTCAGTTCATGTTCTTGACCTTACAAGTTACAAGTCACTCACTTGAGTCAGCAAGAATGAAAGAGAAGTCTCTACTACTTTCCAAATACAGCAAGGAAGATTAAGAAGGCAGATATGCCACAGTTGTGAGCTTGTAAAGCCTCCACAACTACTGACATAACCTATGACTGCAGTTACTGTCTCTGGCTTCCAACACAACTTTTTTGCTGCAGAATGTGATAAACTGATAAAGAAAATTTGTATTTCCAAGCATGATAACTTCATTACAAACTACTGTATTTACTCATGTACATGTACAATAATGTAGCTCTATACCATGTAACCTTTAAAATATAGCGTGGCTAGGGGGCTGAGCCCCTTAATGTTTTACATTCGTCTAGTGTCACAACATTTTTATTGTTATGATAAAGCATTGACCCTTTATAATGAATAATAATTATCACAGAGGTCAAAGATATCACAACTGCCACACATACCATTAATTCCTCTAATAAATTTACTGTTTCCATTATAATACTGCATTACTGCTGAGCTAAAAACTTATTATATTGTTCATACACAATGAGATTGGGGGATAAAATAGAATTGAAGCTGCTCTCACTTACACAAGTTTATAATAAGAATGACAGCAAAAGAGAAGTCACTGATACAAGTCCAGTCCTGGCATTCCTCTATGCAGTTAGTTGTGCTGTTGTAAGGATGACAAATGGTCTGATATGCTTCAGCTGATTCGTTAAAGTTCTTCTCAAAGTGAACAAATCTTTCTATTGTAATGCCAAGAGAAAACAGAAATGCTAGCAAACCGATGAAAATGAATACCCACTCCACCCACGTAAACCTTTTAAAGTTACGAACCTACAGATAAATGAAGATCACATAAACTCACTGCTCTCGTGGAGCACTCAACCCATAGCTCAAGACAATAACTCAAGCAATGTTTATTACTATACACTGGAGGGCTTACATTTCCAAGGAGAGTAGGCTGCTTGTAGTCTGTAACGGCGGGTATGGCATTGTAACCTTCTTTCCTCGTCTCTCGGGGCTCATTAGACTCAGAAAGCAAAAGAGAATCTCGATCCATCACGCAGCAAAAGGCGAGGGCAAAAGGTGCACAAATAAAATTAACCAGTGGCCATGCCTTCTGACCACGCCTAGTTTAAAATCTTATTGGCGCACAAGGAAGAGGGTAGATCTCGGGGTAGATAGATAGTGATGTCAGATAGCGAAGAGAACCAGTATTCCTCTCCTCCTGTTGCTTCAGAGGAGGCTCTGTCACCATCAGATGAATTTTCTACTATTTCTAAAGTAGAAGAAGAGAACATATCCGGAGAGATCGAAATTGATGGTGAGAGTTTTATTTTCAATTTTTAAAAATATAGGCCTATAATTATAATGCACGTTTCTCGCTCCCTCTATTTCTTTCATTAGTTGGTAAAGGACTCTTGGATGAAGTCAGTAAAGAAGTTGCTGGTAAAATAAATTACGACGGTCTTCTTATTTCAACCTCTCTCCTCGATAAAGGTATTCATGAACCATAATCATAATAAAATTGCATAAACAAAACAGCTCCTGCTAATTAAATTAAAGCGACTGATGCTGTAGTGTACCATGTGTAGTACATGTATGCCAATGTTTATGTGTTTTTACTCAACAGAATTAGTAGTGAGCGGCAGAATAAACTGCATATGTACGTGTACATGTACATATGTATAATTTATGTACATGTACACATGGTGTGTATATTCACATGTAGTGTATTAGTGACATGTTTTTGTGACTGTGAGGATTAACAGTGTGTCCGTGTGTTGTTATTGTTAGGTGATTATAAACCCATTGAAGATGAGGAGTTTGATTTTGACATCCCCGAGGAACACTTTAACATAAGGTATGTCCTCTGTCCTCATGTGTATTGAGTTTCACCTTTTGTTCTTCCTAATTACCTTTATCTCTTTCTTTTATATCCTTCTCTTCTTTTCCCTTTTCTTCTTCATTCAGTCTCACAGGTGTGACACAGACCAGTATTGAGTCCGATAGTTTTGATCTTGATACTTTTCTCGGTATTCGTAAACTCCACACTGCAGGACCAAGTACTGACCCAACTCAACAACCACCCGGAACAGAAGAAGTAGCTGCAACACAAGAAGAGCCTGATCAAGTACAAGAGAGTGTCCTCTTGCCTTCAGCAGTTGAGGACAGTCAAGAAGTAGCTGCTGGTGGTGGTGAAGATGACAATGTCCTCATTCCAGGTCCATCTTGTATTGGTGATGATGTTGTGGCTTTGAATAGCAATCAACAGTTAGACAATAAAGACAGCAAACAGGAAAATAACAATGATAATATAACTAGTGACCCACCACCTGCTACTATTGCTCAAACAAGCGTACAGACTGACGGCGATAAATTAACTAGCAATGAGATCTCTCCTATTATTGAAGATAAAGCTCCACCCACAATTGCCGATACTCCACTAGATGCAAAAAATTTTCCTGCCGATGACGAAACACCATATTCCGATTACGTGACCCCGCCCACTAGAATACATGAAATATCGTCCGAGACTAGCGGAGCTATAACTGCTGACTCGGCAGATTTTAGTTCGTCAAGTTATTCCAGTACTTGTCTGATGACTGCCGATACTAAACTATCTCCAATTAAAGCCCCATTACAGGCAGAAGGGGTGGAGTCAGACACGAAGAAAGATGTTCCGTCTATAAGAACCTCTTCCTTGAGAAAACCGAGCGCCAAGAAAGGAGCTTTTAGCAGCTCTGTGAGTTGTTCATAATTTTAATGGGCTATGGGGAAAAATTTTGATATAGTACATATACATGTATTTGTGTACTTTATCTCTTTTTTCAATTTCTCTTTCTACACTTTTCTTTCCCTTTCTCTCTCTCCCTCTTTTTAGCCTTTTGATTCAGAAGGATCAGCCAGTGCCAGTAGTGCTACATTCGTTAAAGACTCAACCTTTACCGTTAGTAAGAACTCAGGATCTGAAAACGATCCAGTTTCTTTATCCAACGAAACTCAAATACTAGAGACAGCTGGAGATAGTGAAGGGGCACAGGACAACAAGAAGACTCAGAACGGCACGTTTTGTAGCTCAACATCTTCAGGGAAGAGTGAAGGGACGACAGGCTCAACAAAGATAGCCAAGAGCAGATTAGTAAAGCCATCAAGTAGCACCACTGCTA